GGCTACCTGGAAGTCTGAGGCGGAAGGATTGCTAGAACCCAGCAGGTTGATGCTGGGGTGGTTGTGAGTGTGCCACTGCATTCTAGGGTGGGTGATGGAGTAAGACTCCAACTCAAAATAAAAAATAAAAATAAAATAAAGAAAGCACATAGAGTTTCCATGTACTCCCTTCTTGCACACACCTAGTTCCCCCTATTATTAATGTTTCATATTAGGATGGTGCATTTGTTACAACCAATGAGCTAATATCTAACATGGACACATCATTATCACCCCGAGTTCACAGTTTACATTAGGGGGTCACCCTTGGTGTTGTACATTCTGTGGGTTTGGACAAATGCATAGCGACATGTATCCACCATTATAGTATTATCTAGAGTAATTTCACTGTTCCTGTAATCCCGTGCCTTTGGGAGGCTGAGGTGAGTGGATTGCCTGAGCCTGCGGGTTCGAGACCCGCCTGGGCAGCGAGACGTCATCTCTATAATAAATAAAAAAATCAGCCGGGCGTTGTAGTGCATGCCTGTAATTCCGGCTACTCGGAAGGCTGAGGCGGAAGGATCGCCGGAGCACAGCAGGCGAGGCAGTGCTGGCCGGGAGCGGCCACTGCACTCCAGTCTGGGTGACTGAGTGAGACTCCAACTCAAAAAAAAACCAAAAAACCAAACTCCCCTACATTTCACCTATTTATCTCATCCTCTCCCCAGGCCCTGGCAACCTGTCTCCATAGCTTTGCCTTTTCCAGATATCTTATGATTGGAATCATATAGTATGTAGCCTTTTCAGATTGGCTTTTTCTCACTAAGCAATATGCATTTAAGGCTTTTCCATGTTTTCTCGTGGCTTGATAATTCTGCTTTTTATCACGGAATAATAGTCTATTGTCAGGAGTAACCATAGCTTGTTTCTCCATTCACCTATTGAAGAACACCTTGCTTGCTTCCAAGTTTTGGCAATTATGAATAAAGTTGCTATAAACAGTCACATGCAGGTTTTTGTGTAGAGTAAGTCATCTTGGTACGTTTAAATGACTTTTGAATGCTATTATCTTAATTTTTCTGTGCTGTTTTGTGATTTAGATGTGTCTTTTGCAAGTAGCATATAACTAGAATTTTAAAAGTCTATAGAGAGATAGGGGATGAAGCAAATATCAATTGTAGAATCTATATAGTGGGTAAATGCTAGGTAATTGGCATGGGCTGTGCAATTCTCTCGAATTTTCTGTATGTTTGAAATTTTTCATAACAAAACGTAGGGGGAAAGTTAAAAAAAAACCCATAAACAAAAACCTTTGAGAACATGTGTGGCTGTGTGTGTAAATTGTAATGGGCCATTCAGAGGAGAATAATGGAGAGGGCCCCACACCTAGTCTTGGCTCTGCCTGCCAGCTGGGGGTAAATCACTTAACCTCTTTTATCCTGTTTTCTCTGGACAGCCTAGCAATCATATCTAGCGGTGTCAGGGGTGTTGTCAGAACCTGCCCAAGCACAGAGCCTGGGGCTCTGTAGCTGGGCTCATTTTCCTGCCTAGCAGGGAATGCGTTGTGCTGCTGGCCACCAGCAGAGGGCACACTTAAAACAAGCAAGTGTCTATAAAGTCTTGAAGCCAGGATTTCCTTTGCGAATATATGTGTGTTCGTGTATATGTGTGTGTGTGTACACACTTTAAAATAATGCGAAATTCAGAGTTAGAGCAAGTGTCTCCACGTTGGGCCATGATTCCAGGCATGTATAGGTATTACTAATGGCTGCAGCAGCTTCCTAGTGCTGTCTCCCTTCTTGCCGATGACCATGGATTCCATTGAGGAGTCTATCTCGTACTCCTTTACAAGGATCTACTTCTCTATCTGTATCTTCCACTAGACTGTAGGAGTTCCTGGCGCAGGGCCTGCCATGACACCCAGGACTTGAAGAGCCCTCAGTGCTCATTGAATGAACTGACATTACTTCCCATTTCTCACTTTATCTCCCCACTCGAAAGCAGGAGCATTCATGATCTGTATTGGCTGTCAATCATCCATCATCAATATGCTTCCCAGAGTGTGGCTTGTTCAGCCTGGCCATAATGGGATTATCATGGGAGGCAACGGAACTAGGTGTCCCTCTGCATTTTCCTGTTATGGGTTACATTGTCTCTGCCCCACAAAAGACATGCTGGAGTCCTAATCCCCAGTACCTCACAATGTAACCTTATTTGAAAATAGGGTCATTGTAGTTGTAATTAGTTGAGATGAGGTCATTAGGGTAGGCCCTCATCCAATGTGACTGGTGTCATAAAATGGAGAAATTTGACACACTTATGCACAAAGGAAAGACCACATGAAGAAGGCACAGATCAGGGTGGTGCCTGAATAAGCCAAAAATGCCAAAGATCACCAGCAAGCCACCAAAGCCAGGGAGAGGCCTAGGACAGATTCTCCTTCGGCCTCAAAAGGAACCAATCCTGCTGAAACCTTGATTTGGACTTCTGGGCTCCAGAATTGTGAGGAACTATACATTTCTATTGTTTCAGCCACTCAGTTTGTAGTATTTTGTTATGGCAGCCCTAGGAAATGAATACATTCTCCAACCGCTTGCCGTAAAGGGAATGGTCTTGTTACCATCAGTCACTCTGGGGAGAGGCAGCTCCTGTCTAGGGGGAAAAAAGGGTGAATTGCCGACAGAGAGTCTTGAAGCCCTGGACTCTGAAGAGTGGTTCCTGCTAGGTACAATCGGAGCAGAGAGGTCCTTCACTTCTCTGGCTGTAAGCTGAGGATAAATCCCTGCTCTGCTGAGGTGTGATGAAGTGACTTAAATGAGATCATCTGCATGAGAGGCCCAGCGGGAGTCTGGCACACAGTAGGTGCTAATACATCAACTTTCCTGCTCTCCCCTCCCTGGCTTAACATCACAATCCATATTTCAGTTGTGGCACTGTGGCAGTGCCCCACACTCCCATCCCCCACCTGCGGGTGGGTAGCAGCATTACTTGGCTAACTCTGGATTTGAACCATGTCCCCAGTTTGATCATTTGTTCAAATGCTTTGCCATCCTGGGGGTCCATGTAGGCCTGGGTCCAGAGGGAGGCAGTAGTTTGTCTTCAACGCCTGCCTCTCTTTTGGCAGCCCCCAGGTTACCTGAACCCATTTGGTTCTTTCTGAAACCTGCACATCTAACCCTCTCTGTGTGACTGGCAACTCTCTCCAATGCTTCCCTTTGCCTTCAGGATAAAGTCCACAGCCTCCCTCATCTGGCCCTGCCTGCTGCTGAAGCCTTGGCCACAGGCCCCTCTTGCACTCCCACCCATAGCCCGCCCCCAGGCCCTCGACACGCCAGCCACAGCAGATAAGGTCCTGACTGCTTCTCTCTTGTGCACCCTGGTGCCTTTTTTTATGCCTGCTATTGAGTCTAGCTCCAATTTGTCCACCTGGGAACACTGCCAATTCTCAGACTCAGGTTAAACATCAGTCACTGAAGGGTTCTGAGCAAGAGAAGAGAAGGAGGTGAGAGATGAGCCGAGACGCCTGCACTAGAGTATCTAGCTCTAGCTCGGCTGATAAACTGCCAAGAGCTGTCTTTTGTCACTGGTCCTGGGCAGATGGCCTTGCACAAAACCCACATGGAGAAGGAAGAGGCAACTGAGGCAATCCAGTCATTTCTGGGCCTTGGAGCTAGAGCCCACATTACTGCCAGACTTATTTCCCACTCTTAGCAGAGAATGCCTCCCCTTACCTCCTGCCTGGAAAATCCCAAGTCACTCTTCAAGTGTGGTCTGTGGCAGACAGCTAGTTGTCCCTAATGTATGTATGTTTGTGTTTTTTTTGAGTTGGGGTCTAACTCTTGTCATCCATGCTGTAGTGCAGTGGCACAATCATGGCTCACCACTGCCTCAAGTTCCTGGGCTCAAGTGATCCTCACACATCAACCTCCTGAGTGGCAGGGACTACAGGTATACTCCACCACACCCAGCTGATTTTTTTCATTAAAAGAAAAATTTTTTTTTTGTAGAGATGAAGTCTTGCTATGTTGCCCGGGCTGGTCTTGAACTCCTGGGCCTAAGCGATTCTCCCACCTCAGCCTCCCAAAGTGCTGGGATAACAGGTATGAGCCACTGCACTCAGTTCCTTTTTATTATGATGATAGAACGATTGCCTGGTCACATGGTCAGCCAGCTGAGTTTCCCAGCCTCCAACTATGTGTGGTCACATGACTAAATTCTGGTCCACAGGATGTAGGCAGAAGTGAAAAGTATAATTTCCATGCCATGTCCCTTAAAGGAAGTAGCCTGCTGCTGTCCCCTTCTTTCTCCACTTTCTTCCTCCCTGCTGGCCAGAGTGTGGCATGCTTTGGGAACCAGAGTGGCATCCTGGACCGCTAGATGGAAGCTGCATGTGGGGATGGGGAGGGCAGAGCAACAAGCTAGAAGGAGCCTGAGCCCCTAGCACTGCTTGGGGGAGCGACCATATCAGCTTGGACTTCCATGAGGGCAAGAAATAAACCTCTGCTTCATCCAAGTCACTGTTGTTCTAAGTCTCTGTTACAAGGAGCCATCCTCCCTGAGTTCAATCCACTCTTCGTCACTTCCTAGCAGTATGACCTTGCCAAATGTGTCTGTAATTCAGGTTCTTCAACTAGAAAATGTGAATAGTAAAAATACCCACCACCAGCTGTCATGAGAATCAAATGAGTTAATTCTACAAAACATTTTGGAAGGATGCCTTGCACACAGCATTTGTATGCAGTAGCTGTTATGGCAGTTGAACCTAGAGCCTGACACAGGCCCACCTTAAATACCATCTCTCTCTCAAATGGCCCTTAGCAGACTCATATCTGCTTCCTCCTATATCCATAGCACCCAGGGCTGCACTTGAGACCTTTGCTAAGCCAAGCTGTACAGAAATTAATGTTCCTCAAAGAAACACAAGGAAAAGGTTTGATGAATGTTTTTTCCACAGTGGATGATTCAAGTTGAAGGGAATTTCTGGACCAAGGAGTGTATTTTTAAAAAAATAAATGTGACTCTTTAAGGTTGCTGCACTTCATACATAAATGAGGGGAATGAAGGGTCTTTTCCATTATCGACTTATTGTATTAAATTGTGTGAAATAATCTCCTGTGGGTTGGTTTGCAAAGACTTCATTCATATATTTTTTCCTGATAACAAAACAAAAGGAGAAAAAAAGTCAGCGAATGTGTATACTTCCTAAATATTCTATTTTTTTAAAAAGAAAAAGTCCACAAACTTTTTATTAGTGTGTTATCCCCATGATACAGAATATATTTCAGTCCTCATGAGCTTAAAGAGAAACCCATTCGACTCCTCCCCAGCAGTCTCATTGTACTGCAGTTAGATTAGGAATTGGCACCAGTGGAATTTGTGGATATCTTAACATGAAATCTCCATGACTGTGACTGTGTGCTTTGCTTGTTCGAACTGTCAGTTCTCTTGCTCCTTTTAAGGTCCCAAACCAAAGTGACAATAACAGATGAACCCCAGTAACAGGACATCTGATTAGGAAAGATACCTCTGGGTCTCTTCTGAGTTTAAGCCAAGAGCCTGATAAATAAGTAAATAAATACTGTGTTTCTTTAGTTACAGGTTCACCTACATATCTGCATTTGACATTTTCCTGTAGCTGGAACTGCATGGGGTCCTGTCTGTAACCAAGAGACTACAGACCTGTTCTAGGCAGACCGAGAGTGCCTCCCTCTACCTTGACAGCCTTCCCTGCTGCGGGTGGTGTGGTTTCCCTCCAGAGTCTCAGCCATGAAGGCTCCTCCTCAGCTAACTCAGTGCCCTCCCCTGGGGCTTCTGGAGCCTTCCACCAGTGCATCCCATGTGCAATGTGAGCTATCTGTGACCCCATGGGTCTGTCAACCTGTGTTTGAGTCCACTTGAGCTTCCAGTGCCCAGATGAGGGCCACCCAGGGAGAGGCATCTTGCCCCTCTGCTCCCGTCCTTGACCTCCACAGCCCATCCCCCCCCCATGGTCCCCCGACCTGGCCCTGACCCTGCCCAGCACTCACTGCAGATGCTGCTCTTTGGCAAGGCTGAGGTTGCTGTTGTCCAGAGCCCTGCGTAGGTCACGCTGCTGGCGCTGCTGTTGTCGCTCAAACAGCAGAGTGGCACGAGCCTGCTGAACCCTCCGTCGGTCCCAGTCCAAGTCTCGCTGGCGCACTTCTTCCTGAAGCCTCTGAAGGGAGGAGAGGTGACTCAACACCACCTTTCCCAGAGCCAAAGAGCCCCAGGGGATTGTCCGGGAGGCCGAGACTCTCATTTTATAGATAAGGCAACAGACTCAGAGAAGGAGCAGGTAGGTGATCAATGTCATGCAAGAAGTCAGAGGAGACCCCCAACCTGCCCTCATTGCATGCCTCCCACCCTTGAGAGGCGTTGGCTATCCTCTTTCTCCTGAAGGGAAAGTGGGACTCAATTCCAACAGCCATCTCAGTCCCGGACTCCCAGGTGAGGGCCTGAGCCCAGGGTCTTCCCTCCCTAGATCCTCAGGAGGGCTCCTTGGCTTGGTTAGCAGTCAGACACACCTCACAAGATGTGATGTGCTGCTCCATTCGACTAATGGCTAACACCAAGATTGTCTGGGGAGCTCTAGAACATGCCTTACCCAGTGACAATAAGAACATTTGGTGGTGGGGGGGGGAGAGGGGCCCTGGCCCCTGAATTTCTACATTTCAACTTATTTATTGTTACCCTCCAAACAGCTCTATGAAACCCACAGAACTCTAGACGAGGAAACTGAATTCTGAGCTCCCACTGACACCAAACCCTCAATTAACACTCCATGTCCCTTGCAATTCTGCCACCGAAGGTTCCAGCAAGTCTGTCTTCTGGTATCATTTCCCCTTCTCTGCTGAGTCACTCTCACTGAATGACAAGTATGCTGCTATTTCTACAATCAAAGCAGAAACTTTCTTTTGGTCCCCCTCCCCTGCCACTGACCACATTTCTCTGCACCCTTTACAGCAAGCACCTTCGAAGTGTGGTCTGCATCTGCTGTCTCCACTGCATTCCTGCCTGTTCTCTCTTGAGCCCATTAGACAGGATCTCGGTCCCACTACTCTGGCACAGATGCTGCTGACAGGGTCCCCATTGACCACCATGGTGCTGGATCCCATGGTCACTCTGCAGCTTGGCAGCGGCACCTGCCTAAGGGCCCCCTCTCCTTCCTTCCCACTTTTCCTCGCTTTGCCTCTGGGACACCATGGCTTGTGTCTAGCTGCTCCTTTCTCAGACCCCCTTGCTCTTTATAAACAGTGGTAATGAGGGGGGTTGCAGGACTCAGTCCTAGCTCTCTTCTCCTCTCTGGCTACACTCATTCTCTGTCTAGACCTGCATGGTCTCATCCAGGTTTGCTGCTTTAGAAATCTACAGGCGGCCAGGCTCGGTGGCTCAGCCTGTAATCCCGCGCCTTTGGGAGGCTGAGGTGAGTGGATTGCCTGAGCCTGCGGGTTCGAGACCTGCCTGGGCAGCGAGACCTCATTTCTACAATAAATCAAAAAATCAGCCGGGCGTGGTAGCACATGCCTGTAATTCCGGCTGCTTGGAAGGCTGAGGCGGAAGGATCGCCGGAGCCCTAGCAGGTGGAGGCTGCGGTGGCCGGGAGTGGCCG